GATGAATCTAGTGTCAGTTCAGAGGATGTTCAGAAATATCTGAAGCAACAACATTGCACCTGGAAATTCAATCCACCTCACGCATCTCATATGGGTGGTCACTGGGAGCGAATGATTGGGATTATTCGAAACTCCTGAAGTGTTTCCACTTTTGTGTGCCATATGCATTAGACGTTTAGCCAACGTTCCGTAGGCGTGACGTCTAAAGGCTGATACTACATTGGCCCAGTCCATCCAGTGTTCCCTCTTTGGATACCAGTGCCCAGAGCAATGAGGATCAAACCCAGCATGGAAAGAGCACTGAAAGAGAAACACACTTTATAGATTCCGTTCTATCAGGGCTGTTTAGTGTAGTTTCATTAAAACTGTACAAAAAGATTTCAATTACGACAACTCCCGAAATAGATTTTAACAGCATTTTATTGATACGAAAGGAAGATTAGTCTTGGCGGAGTAGATCTGCTATGATTCTGCTGCTGGCATGAGCAAATATTTTTACTGAGATTTAAAGAACACATCCTACTGCTGCGGCATGGCAAAGTAGGAAGAACTGTAACAGATCTAGACAGGTGGTGCTGGGGAGGAAGAGGGATAAATAAAACTCTAATGGTGCACAGTACTGACATGGATTAGGAAATAAAAAAGGTTGCATAGATAGAATAGATAGTGTTGCCACTCAGCTTCTCAGAAGAGTTTCATCACTGAACTGTGCGTGCATTTACTTTAACATGAATAAAAAACAATTTATTGTTTTGTTAAAAAGCGATTTCTTTGTGAAAATTCTGAAATATATATTTTTTCCTCCTGAAACCTTACTGGTGTGTCACAATATTTGGGTCTAAAAAGTATATTTTTTAAAAATTGTACACTTATTTTGACGTGTTGATTAACATACTACAGTACATGGTTATATTTTTACTTGTGTTATTTGATACTGTATTTAAATTTAATTTAATTTAAATGTATTAAATTGCAAATTCATCATTACAAATGTCAAATTACAAATATTTTTTTAAATGCATGACATACAAGTTTCAATAGAAATGGGATTAATGTTTGTTTATTTTAGTTTACTGAAAATGTGGAAACCACAACAGTGTAGTTTCAACAAGGGCAACAGTGTGGTTGTCATTTACAAACATTTCAAAAACTGACCTACAATTCTGAGATTGTCATATACTGTATGTTTTTGTGAGATGGGATGTTGTAGCATTAGAGTATGAAAACAGCTCTTTTCACACACATTTATCCACACCGATTCAATTGCAGTGCTTTAAGAGTAGTTTATTCATATGATTCATTTTCTGATTTTGCTGCAAAACAAATGATGTACTGATGTGATTCACCTTAGAGCTGGTTGGTTTGGTTCATGGTAAATTCTGTTATTAATCCTGTTCTCTGTGAGTAAGGAACAGAGGTGCATGGTGTGATGATTGACTCACATGTGGAAGGTGAAGTTATCCGGTGTGCCGTCTCTGTTTGCATCTGTGAGGTCATGAATAGTGCTGACGGCCATGGTGACCTGGCCGATGGCTTACACTATGGACAGGTATATGATTGTCCTGAAAACACACAAACATGCTCACAGATCAGAGACAGTCTGCAGAAACTGCTTTCACTCTCAAAGTGTTGGATGGATTGTGACCTGTGGGGAATTGCACCTTAAAGCTTTACAAAAAAACCTACTTGAACTTCCCAAGCCAGGAATCAGCCATGATGGCACCCAAGATGGGCGTCAAGTAGCACAGCACCACAAAAGCATGATAGATGGAAGTCGCAAGGTCATCATCCCAAAGCAGAAAATACCGGACATACAGCACCAACACAACTAGACAAAGAGAGCGTCTTTCCCAAAAAGACTCATGGCTGTATTAGATCAAAAGGGTGCTTCTACTAAATACTGAGCAAAGGGTCTGAATACTTAGGACCATGTGATATTTCAGTTTTTCTTTTTTAATAAATCTGCACAAATGTCAACAATTCTGTGTTTTTCTGTCAATATGGGGTGCTGTGTGTACATTAATGAGGAAACAAATTTAACTTAAATGATTTTAGCAAATGGCTGCAATATAACAAAGAGTGAAAAATGTAAGGGGGTCTGAATACTTTCCGTACCCACTGTATATAGCTTATACGGACAATTTTATTCTTAAACGATGTTAACAGTACTCACAAATTCTGACGTGACAAAATAACAGTTATTAAAAAGGAAATGCATTGCAGGATTATTTCATAAAATTAAAATTATTACATAAATCTTACCTTTTTCTTTTTTTTCTTAGTCTCGTCCATCTTTTTGTCTGTGAGATTTATCATTTTTTAGTACACATGCAAAATCACACAAATAGTAATTTCTGTGGTTGTAGTTTGACACACTCAAGGCTCTCACCTGGCATACTGGCAGCAGGAGTGCGTGTATGTGTGTGTGACCTGCTGCATACCTGTGTGAGAAAAGACTTGCCAGGACGGGACATCTGAGTAAGAGCATCTAGAACAGGTGTGTGTCTTATTAGCATGGACTGTGTCCTGTCTGCTTTATGACATAAACAAGAGCAAGAGTGATAGATAATTCTCAGGGGTCCATATGGTAAAACATCCGCTCACATTGTGTTTATACACTGTTTATAGTGGATTATAGAAGAAGTAACATTAAATCAAATCTTCAGGTAAAAAAAAAAAATAAAAAAAAAAATAAGACAAAACAAAAAACTGAAGACCAAAAAAAAAAAGAAAAGATAAAACTAAAATAAGACAAGGCAAAACTAAAATTACACAAGACAATATAAAAAAATAAGACAAATACGACAAAAAGACAAAACAAAAATAAGCCAAGAAAAAAACAAAACAAGACAAACCCAAAAATAGGACGTGACAAAACAAAAAGCTGAAGACAAGACAAACAAACAAAAACCAAGACAAAACTAAAATAACAGAAAAAAACAAAACAACAACAAAAAAACATAAAATAAAACAAATTAACAAATGACAAAAAACAACATAAAAATAAACAAAACTAAAAAATTGAATAAAATGTAACAACAAAAAACAAGACAAAACAAAAAAAATACACAAGACAAAAAAAACGACAAAACAACTAAAGACAAAAAATTAGAAAACAAAACAAAATAAAACAAAAATACACAAGACGTGACAAAAAAGCTAAAGACAAAAAAAGAAGACAAAACAAAGCAAAATAGAAAATGAACAAAAAAACTAAACAAGACAAAACAAAGAACAGAATCGAAAAGACAAAACACAACAAACAAAACAACAACCAAAAGACAAAACAACATTGAAAAGACAAGATAAAACACAATATAATTATGGTAATTAATGATGGCTAAAAATCTGGATAATTTGTTTTGAATTAAAAAAAAAACCCAACAACTGAAAGAGAATTGTATGAGATTTTATTCAAAGCATTAGGGACAATACCAGTTTAAATACAGCAGAGTAGAGACTGTTAAATACAGATAAAAAACAATATCACATTCAGCTGTCCCACAGTATAAAAATATTTGATAATTGATAATAATGTTGAACATTAGCATTTGTGTCTGCACAAGCTCCGCCTCACCTCCAGTGTATCACATGCAGTGAAAGCGCTGACCTCCTCACACGAATGCCACGCCCACTCAATGTGCGTCTGCTGCACAAACACACTCACGGACTCATGGCTCACATATGACAGCTTTAAACCCGTCTGATGCTGACGGCGGTTTGAACTCGATGGCAACGTCAGACGCCTCTCAGACAGCGAGCCAGCAAAACAAGTAGACGTCAAAAACTGAAAATCTGAGCTTGAACAAGTAATACAAAATAAAACAATATAGAATAATGCAGAGGATGCAGATATGTATAATATGTAAAAACCGTTGGAGTCAGAGTCTGGATGTTAGCACACGTTGAATGCAGTGCTTACAAGATTGAATTTGGCTTGCATCATTTTCAGACCCATTCTCCCTCTCTTCACTACGGCTATTAATAAAACTGGCCAAATGGCCAAAATAAAATAGAGTTTTTGATTAAGTCTCCACAGGAAACAGCAGGTGAAATCCCCTGGATGAGGCAGGAACATACAGATCCCCTTTCATGAGGTCTGGGAGAGGTGTGAAATGAAAGGCGAAAGGTCATAAGGTCACTGCAGGGGTCAGGTTCACACCACTGAGGAGGAGTTTGGCAGGCCCTGGAGAGTGGCGGCAGTGGGCGTCCCGCTGATGGCATTGAAGATGTGCAGCGAATCTGGAAGAGGACTGCGCATCCCATCATCCACTGGACTGATCTGTGGAGCCGGGGAGGGAAAAAGAGAGGAAATCACGCAGCACTGCAGTGAGTATAAAAGCCACATGGAATCTGAACAGTGCTTTGCATTTACAAAAACAAAACCCAAAAACAAGACAAAACAAAACATTAATTTAAAAATAAAATAAAATAAAAAAAATACTGTAAATAAAATAAGACAAGACAAACAAATTGAAACGGTTCTTCACATTTTCTTGTGGGGTCAAATCTACAGACATTTGCGCTCTCGTCACTGATCTATATACACTGAATAAAATTATAAACGCAACACTTTTGTTTTTGCCCCCGTTTTTCATGAGCTGAACTGAAAGATCTAAGACTTTTTCTATGTACACAAAAGGCCTATTTCTCTCAAATCTGTCTGAATCTGTGTTAGTGAGCACTTCTCCTTTGCCGAGATAATCCATCCACCCTTAGGCTGGCCACAATAAAAGGCCACTCTAAAATGTGGCAGGGTGGCTGGTCTCAGACGATCTTGGAGGTGAAGATGCTGGATGTGGAGGTCCTGGGCTGGTGTGGTTACACGTGGTCTGCGGTTGTGAGGCCGGTTGGATGTACTGCCAAATTCTCTGAAACGCCTTTGGAGACGGCTTATGGTAGAGAAATGAACATTCGATTCACGGGCAACAGCTCTGGTGGACATTCCTGCAGTCAGCATGCCAATTGCACGCTCCCTCAAAACTTGCGACATCTGTGGCATTGTGCTGTGTGATAAAACTGCACATTTTAGAGTGGCCTTTTATTGTGGCCAGCCTAAGGCACACCTGTGCAATAATCATGCTGTCTAATCAGCATCTTGATATGCCACACCTGTGAGGTGGATGGATTATCTTGGCAAAGCAGAAGTGCTCACTAACACAGATTTAGACAGATTTGTGAACAATATTTGAGAGAAATAGGCCTTTTGTGTACATAGAAAAAGTCTTAGATCTTTGAGTTCAGCTCATGAAAAATGGGGGCAAAAACAAAACCGTGTTGCATTTATAATTTTGTTCAGTATATAATGACTATTATATTATATGATATTATATTCTCTATTATAGATCAGTGGCTCTCGTAGTGTTGCAGTTGATCATTTGCTAAACTTCACTGACCAATCCTGCATAGTAACTGTGATCAGTCATATTATCAGACAATATTATCTTAAGGATGCATGTGCGGTTTGTTACCACCACATTATTTATAATTTTTGGTTGAATTTCGTTGTTATTGTTTTTCTATTGTGTTTCTTTTCTTTCTCTAGTTTTTTGGCCTAACAACATCCGGCAAAGGGACTACCAATGAAAACTAGCCTTCGGGCTAATTTGGGTACATTTACATTCATGAATGTTGATTAATGTACACTGTCCCTTTTTGTGTGTGAAATAAATAAATAAATAAACAATGAAAATACTCTAAATTTTGAAGCCAAAAACCCATCAGGTAACAGTAGCTATAATAAAATTACATCAAACAGACCCAATTTTAGTTGCATTTTCCTGATTTCACAATATGAAATGGGAGCTTTCATATAATTCAGAGTTTCCAAATTGATGTATATATGCTAGCAAGAAAAAAACACATCATTTTAAATGGAGATGAGAGTTTCATTGGTAGCAGAAAGCTTTATGTGTAGAATGCAGTGAATGACGTGTGTGTGAATCCTGTGGGTTTCTGTGGCTGCGGATCCCAGGTTTTAAGAAGGTTTCAGTTATAAGAAATAATTTACCATTCAGTCTGACCATGAGAGCAAAAGAGGAAAAGAAAATGGAGAGATTAAAAAAAAACACCATGAAAATACATTATACATAAGTATGAGAAAGGGATAGTACACCCAAAAATCAAAACTGTCATCATTTACTCACAGTCAAGTTGTTCCAAACCTGAGCCTCTTTCTTCCGTTGAACACTAAAGAAGATATTTTGAAAAATGTTGGTAATTAAACAGTTGACAGCCATTGAAAAAAAAAATACTATGGAAGTCAATGGCTGCCGTCAACTGTTTGGTTACCAACATTCTTCAAAATATCTTCTTTTGTGTTTAACAGAAGACACACACTCATACAGGTTTGTAAGAACATGAGGGGGAGTAATTGATGACATGATTTTCATTTTTGGGTGAACTATTTGTGTCTTACAGGCTCATGCATAATGGCAGACAGCTCTTTAGTGAGATCTCTGTAGTTGGCCTTCATCTCGTCATGATACTCCTGCTGATCTTCTTTAATCAGACGCTCATTAACACCTAAACCAAGACCACACGCCTCCACAAACTGCCTGCAAAACACCACACAAATACACAAAACTGCAGATTTCAATTTAAATACCAGTCAATGTGTGGGCACACATAAATTGTTTCAATGTTTGAACTTCTTGACAAAATAATTTAGTGCAGAGCTGTAATCTACACAAAGGTGGCTATTTTGAAAAAGCACAAAAATAAGATTTAAGATTCGATTTACTTAAATTAAAAATTGCATAATTCAGGTCTCATAATTCCCATGTTGACTAACTAGTGTTTTAGTGTTATTTCATAGGATCTTTCGCCATTTTTAAACAGCTGAGCTGTTGTGAAGTTTAATTGTAGTTCAATGTGAGCTCATTATTATATATTGCATATAAGAGTCTAAGATTTACATTTTTTGCTTTTGTTTTTGTTTAAACAAAAATTAGAGCAAAAACAGTAACATTGAGAAATATTATTTCAATTTAAAACAACTGTTTTCTTGTTTAATACATGTTAAAATATAATGTTATATTATGTATTATGTATAATGTTCAGAAGAACAGCATTTATTTGAAATAGAAATATTTAGTAACATTATGAATGTCTATACTGTCACTTTTGATCAATCTAATGTATCATTGCTGAATAATAAAAAAATAAAACTGTATATATTACATTGTACAGGTATATATGCAATGTTGTTTAAAATAGTTTTAGATGAAGGAGTGCTCAGAGACTGAAGTGTGTGTTTTACCAGAAAACTTCTTTCAGCTGTTTGACTTTGTTGTCTGGGTATTTCTTAGTGCTGGCGTCATCCAGGAAAGCTCTGGCATAAGCAAGAGGCCCGGCATTTACCTGAAGAGAGAGTGAAAGACAGGTTTACAGTTATCACATGACATTCTAAAACTCATTGAGCATAAGGTCATGTGTGTGTGTGTGTGTGTGTACCTGCACACTGATGCTGCCCTGTAGTTTGAGCTGCAGCTGGATCATGTCCACATCGCTGCAGGAACACAGCTGTCTGATCTCCAGCACCTTCTTACTCATCTCATCAATAGCCACCTCAATGGGGTTCAAATCCACATGGTGCTGATACATCACCGCGATCCGCTTCTTCACATACGGGAAACAGTGTGTGGCTGAGAGATGAAGAGAACGAACAGAAGATTTACATATGACGTCTAACCAAGAATGAGGTTAGTAATATTATTATTAATTAGGACGGTCAAAGCTAACACATTACACATGGTTAAACCATTAAATAATTAAAATCGCGAACACTCAACAAGTGTTTGAATATGATTCTTATCTCTCTCTCTTATATTTGAGCTGCTTCTTTGTCTAGACACCAGCTTTCCTCGCTTTGGACATGAACTCAAACGACTTCATGAGATGCTTTTAAACAGTCCTGAAAGATTTGACATGTTCGCTGAGCATTACATCCGAGATACAGAGGCTCTGTGAAGATAAGGCCTGTACTTTGTGATTGGGAGGATCTCTCTGGAAGTGTAACTTATGTCTATCTTTAGTTTCTATGGCCAGTATGCAGTGTGTAAGTGTGTATAGTCACCGGTGAGGATAGTCCTGCGTTTGCACTGTTCCTCCACGCCACCTTGTTTTTTGCCTGAAACGGTGAATGGCATCTCAAAGACGAATCGACGGATGTTGTGGCTCCTCTCAAAGTCTGTTTTTCTCTCCAGCAGCTCCTTCTCCTCCAGGAACGGGGTGACATGAGTCACTTGGATGTAGGCGTATTTAGAGTCCAGATCTTTTGGATTAATCTGCAACGAACAGTAACCCAGCTTTATCTTAAAGGCAGTTCTGTCACGACAACTCTCAGAGGGATTGGCATGGTAATGTACATGGCAATGTTAATGTATTTGGTCTTGGCGGAATAGATCTGCTATGCTGCTGCTGCGGCAGAGCAAGTACAGAGACTTGCTATTGCCAATACATCCACAACATTGCTGCTGTGAGCATGTAAGAAATATTGCTGCTGCAAATATAACATACATGAAATAACCCCCATATAGCATACATGAATCACCTTGTAGCAAATCTATACAGGTGGAGCTGGGGAAGGTGGAGGGTTTCTGAAGCAAGCTGCAACTGCTACAGCAAGCACAAGTCATTTATTTGAATGTTGAGCAGCGAGCTCATTGGCTACCAATACAGGAGAGAACCAATTAGCTGAGCCATGTGATAAAGATGTCATTAGGTCAGATTGAGTTAGACCTATCGGACTGCGCCATCTAGAGATTCATGCCAGAACTCTGTATTTATAGTTGTAGTACTAGTTAAACCACACTGTTCAATGCTGGTTAAATATGTCTGGACTTCTACATCTCATGGCAAACACAAATATTGACATCTTAAAATCTTCTAGAAAAAGCCACACTGCAGGTATATGCCCCATATGATATACTGTATGCGATTTCAGGTTTACCCACCCCAAAAACTTGACACATTCGACAGATCAGTCAATCTCTTCCTGTCTAAGGTGGGCGTTTCTTGGCCAGAATAAGTTGCAATGTGAATCAGACTTTGTTCTGATAGTCAAAAGTCTGGTTATGCAAAATCGTATGTGAACACTTCGTACCTTGCCAGAATCCTGGATCATTTTGACATTCTCAGCTCCAAACTTGTCTGAATACAGTTTAAGGAGTCTTTGAGAGATCTCAGACAGTGGGGTGAATTTGGGCTCCTTATATATGTATTCTTTACCATCTTCATCCTCGAAGAACCCCTAAAACAACAAGCAAGGTCAAACAAAGTCAAGCTATTTGCCTACTAATTTTTGAACACGAAGTTAGTCACAGGACACAACTATTTTCAACAGAAACACTGGGAAGTATAAAAACTGTAGAGTGTTGATGATAAATCCTAATTACTAAACAGAGATTATGATGACTTCCACAACACAACACACACGTAGAACTAAAGTTGAGTTTACCTCGTTCATCTCAGAGTCATTACACTGGTACTGCTAGAGACACAAACCACCACAGCGACAGAAACAACTCATCAATGAGAAACACACTTCAGTTGTTTAACTAAGCACCCATTTTAGTCGGAAATTCATTTTGTGCTGAACACAGAAACAGGTTTAGAAGGTGGTGCTGTAATCTTAAAAGTTACAGGTGTACCAGGACATACTGTCTTATGTTAAGTCTTATGTACTGCTAATCATTTCATGAAAAAGAATACAGGCAGTTGGGTTAAAATACATTTTGGAAGCTGACTGTTTTAAAATGCATTTGCAAATAACTTTTTTTAGGGCTCCTAGTGAAAAAAAAGCAATCAGATAACACAATATTCACATTTCTACCAATACATGCTGCCAAAAGACATTACATATTGTGGCAGATACGTAAATACTGGAAAGACATTACAAAACATTGTTTCTTGTTTCCAAATCACTGAATGTAAGCCTATCACTGGCCAAAAAGTTGTGACATACACTTCCCATGTACTTTAGCATACAAAAATTACATAAAAGTTTGGACACTTAACCACATGTAATTGCAATTGAATGAAAATTTACAATAGTTTACATTTATATTAAATGCAGTTAGCTGAACTTTATTTGACCCACTTACGTTTGTAGGACTTAATTTCATAATTAATAACTGTACTGACAAGCATTTATAATACTTTAAATGTAATATTGAGTAACACACTACAGTTAAAATTATAAGTACTTTACATGTGCTTTAGTATTTTAGTCACGCATTAAAATAAGTGCACATGAAGTCATGACAAAGATTATTAAAACAATGATTTAAAATGTACTTTGAAGTGAAACTTTGATATTGCAAAGTACACTTTTAAAAAAAGTCTATTTAAGGTTAAGAATCAGTCATGAAAGTGTCTCTCTTTAAGTACACTGAAGTGGCCTTTTATTTCATTAATAGTATATTATCTGCGAGTTCAGTCTTTTACTTCTTATTTTGCAAGGGTTATATATTCATATTAGGGCTGGGCGATATAGCTAAACAATGTATCAACGATATAATGTTTCATATCGTTCGGTATAGATAATTATTGACATTTTTTATAACCTTTTTTAAAACAAAGAGCAATATAATTTTTTTTTTATTTAACCACTGTATTTTTAAATTAACCCAATTTATTGAGACAAACAACAAATATTTTTAGTTTTAACAGTCAAACACAAAATAAAAATTAGACAAATATCTAATTTCTAATGTTTTATATGCAGATTAAATAGGCCACAGGAGGGCGCAATGAGCAAAATAATGCAGCGCATTAAATTGCCAATGCAAGGAAATAACTGTCTATAAAAAAAACTTGCATTACGTCTAAATTAACTCATATAAATAAAATATAAATATATATTTCGTAAATTGCATAAACAATTATGAACAAAACAGCATCTTGTATTTATGCATTGCTTAATACAAAGAGCCGAATCGTCCATCACACAGATTGCCTTTAAAAACATATGAGATGCAGTGAAAATGAATGAACCTCCACAAATTTGTGACGTGTTTTCTAAAAGTTTAAACTGTTTTAACTTTGCATGGCTTTCTATACATCTCTTGTGTGAGACGTGAGTGCAGAAGTCATCTTTGTCCGTCTAAAATGCGCTGAATATGCGTTCTGTGTGGATGGCTTGGTTTAGGTTTTAACCTAATCAAGTTCTTCTATGCATTGAGCTATTATATTTCGCTAATATTTTGAATGAATAACGCACAACTGCGCGTCTCGTGGGCTAGACTAACAAAACATTAAAACACAAAAACGTCAATTACATCATCATCACCGCATCTCGTGCGCCACTGATGACGCTCCCTGACGCACTCCTAACATTCGATTGTACTATTTTTACATTCAAATGCAAATGTTTATTTTAAATTCGACTAATATAAATTTTTTTATTTACAATCGCCTCATCACAGGCAGGCACAACTCTCCATTCAGCACGTGTTCGTGCTTGTGTGTGCTGTCTGCGTCACTCATAGCACGTGCCTATATCGGGCACTATATCGAACATTTTTTCTATCGATATCGAAGAAGGTGTACCGTTGATAAATATTGATACCGTTTTTATCGCCCAGGCCTAATTCATATGCTGTCAATTTTAACCTAAAAATCTTGATGCTGATCAAAAAAGGTTCATGGACATGTTATGTGTTACCAACCAAATGCAAAACACACATATCTGCACACACAAACATATTTAAGAAAATCAGTGCAGCAGGAGATGCAGGTAAGCACACCAAGAAGCCAGCAATGCAACTAAACTCAAAGTTTATGTCAGCAGGGCAATACTGTTGTTTTATTTGACCAGATTGTAATGTTTATACGTTGGGAGGCTTCAAAATGATTTTTTTTTACACCCAAAACTGAAGATAAAACATGAGCATAGAAATCCAGTAGTCCATGTTAGGCCACAGAAAGTTCAACTCAAACACACAAGACTTACCGCTGCCTTCAGACAGTGAACCAGCAGAAACATGAATCATATGACAGATAAATAAAGACACAATAAAGAGTTATTATAGAGCTCGTCCTGATAAAGACATGATGAGTGAAGCTGATGAGACTCACCTGACCGAAGAACGCTACTCTGAAATACGTTCCCAGCAAGCGCTTGCCCGTGTGCATGACCTCTGTGACCTTACTGTAGGCACGGTGCAGGGTGTCATAGAGGTGAGCCAGTCTCTGCCACAAACAACAACAGGGTTTACAAAACACATCGGCTCTGATTTAAAGGTGAGTTTCAATTTCTGTACTGATGTAAGTAATTTTAGTAAAAGCTCCGGTAACACACCCTTAGACATTCAACACACACTCCTTTTTATTCTACAGTGTGTGTTACTGCTGTACCTCAAAATCTCTGCGTTTCTCATAAATGGGAATGATGAGTTTGTAGATGTCAGAGATGAGCTCATAACGCTCTGCTTTCCATAAACCATCAGCACATTCTTCCAAAAGCTCCATCAGGACGTCCTAGGAGGCACAAAGACAAACACACACTTAAACATTTAAAACCTTACAATGCAGATTTGTCTCATACACATAAAGATATTTTTGCATACAGTGAATACAAAAGTATTTAGTCTCGCTTAAGCCTCACTGAATGTCTCCACATAACAAATGCAAATGCAATCTTTGCTCGAATTTTGACTAAATTCACTTTTTAAAGATATGGCTGCAGCGTCAACAATACTACAGCGAGAATAAAAGTTATACCTTCTTTCTTTGTGTGAACATTTGGGCGGCGTTATGCAAATCTTCCCACATCGTGACGTAGGTATGTGGGGGCGTGTTAGAATGAGACGTTTTAGGTAGGCGTGGTTAACTCTTAACTTTTATAAAGAATACCTCTTTGGATTTGAGACTTTAGTGTTTGCAACTTTACAGATCTTCTTTATGCACCAAGAGCTTGTAACACTCCAAAGAGAAAGGAAAAATGGAAATCGCATCATATGACCCCTTTAAATCATTTTTGCTCAATGAATCATATTTTCCTCAGGTATCGTTGAAGTACTATTTTTTTTATTTAAATGTTCTTTATTTAAAATTTTTTTAATTCATTTTAATTGTTAAAAGTTTCACTAATTTTGTTGTGTTTGGCATTTTTATTATTTTTTAAAGTTCAGATTTAGTTTTAGTCCAAGTTAATCTAAACAAAAATTAGAAATGTTGCTTTGGAAACTAGCTGAAATAATAATATATATATATATATATATATATATATTATTATTTCAGTTAACATTTATTTTATTTACAGTTATGGAAATATGGTTTATTTATGGTTTTGGTTGACTATAATGAGCCTGTTTCAGAGCGCTGAAGGCTGTTGATTGATCTTATTAGTGTTTTATCTCTCAGTCAAAGTGCAGGAATGATGGTTGAGTATCAGTCACAGTGGAGATGAGCTCACTGATATCCACCATCAGTTATATGGATATTAGTTTATTGCTTCCCTCTTTTACTGTACTAATATTAAACTAAATCAACACTGACACTATAATGCTGTATCTTAACTTGATATGATGTGACAAAAATGCAAGTCATTTTGTTGATCAAAATATGATAGCCATGCCTCAAGTGAAATCTTACTGGTTCAAAATCTTCCACTTCAAAATTGAATATTAAACATCAAATACATTCTGGGCCATGATTGTGTAACGGCATGCAGCAGTTTTGCATTCAGACAATTCACATTGTACCTGGAGATTCAGATATGGATATTAAATGTGTTTTTAATAGAAACAATGGGATATGGATTATATGAATGGAGTTATTGGATACCGCAGTAAAATATATACGTAGGAAGTCATGACTCATGAGATATATTTCTGCAGCAGTGCTCTTTACTCGTCTCATGCGCATCAGAAATACAGATTCAATCATCCTCAAAATGAATCAAGCACTTTATGGATCTAATAGCACTTCATTTATCACTGTTGTTTCTGCTGACCTTTGAATTTCAAATTCTGCCCTGCAAATGACATTTTTATTTTTATTTCTCAAATTCAGTCTTGAACTTGCTTCTCCTGAACTCTGCTTCTGAGAGCAGCTACTGTATAAGGTGGCTTCTCATTGCTCCATCTGTTCTACTGTGAGAATTTGCTTTTTGCTGAGCATCATGACTATTTGTTTCTTCTCTGATTTGAATGGATGGTTTGCTGGCTTTCAGACAGATATTCACCTCATTAAAGTGAACATCCTGCATCCCCACATCTTCCATCATGGACGCTTCTTCATCGATGTTTGGTGTGACCACTCTGAATGCAGTACAGCCCTGTTTAAACGTGCCTACACAAACACACAGACAACCATTACAATTCACATTTGGAGAGACAGAGTTTTCCTGAAGCAATGGCATTTAAAAAACAGACATATGAAAACAGCCAGATGTGTGATAATGCCTGGTAGAAAAGGTGAAGGATAATTGTTTGGAGTGAGTCCTGTCATGAAATGTTTTAATTCTTAACATACTGAGTGATAACTTATATCATCAGGGACTTTATCAGACATGGGGAAGAGAGAGATATGAGGAGGTGAGAAGGTGAGAAAAGAAACATGACTGATAGTGAAACCTTCCACACACTACTGTGTAATCATTAAAGGTTCCATATTGTCAAAACTGAAATTTCCTGGCTTTTTTCACGATAACTGAGGTCTAGGGGCTATTAAACTACCATATAAGTTTCAAAACAGTCAGTCCACAGTAAAATGCACACAGCCTGCATAAAGTAGCTGTGATTTTTCATGAACCGTTGTGACTTCCGTAAAAAGTTGACATCAGAACTACACAGTCACCGCCTTCAGTCACCTCCCCGAGCCCCGCCCACCGTCCCACTCTCCTTTAGCCACACCCCCAGACAACATCGCATCCATGCCATTGCTGAGCAACGACAACAACATGGAAACATGTCGAAAAGGTTAACTTTAACCACGAAACCAGATCGGCCGACCTGTAACGTTCTCACTCAAAGGATGGACGATCTGACAGGATTGTTACTATTAGAAGAAGTCTGTAATTGCCCATAACAACAACAGACAATACTTTATTGAACCTTTTCTGATAAGAAGTGTGTGCTGCAAACAAGAGCATTTTTGACTATGGTTTCTGTCCAGTCTGCTCGTTTTATCACGTTTAACCACAGCTGTCGTCGGTTTTTTATCTGGCAGTGGCAGCAGATATGCGATCAAATTTCTAATTTGAGGCTATATTACGTTGATTCTGGCACCCAACATCACAACAAAATTATATTTTAAGCTCCTTATGTAGCCGAATCTGCGCTGGTTTGAATGGGCCGCCTCCAGTTTCCCCTTTGTTTTGCTGCCTCCAGCTAGCGCTGTGACGTCGCTGACCCTAGTTACCTGTGGTTGGCCTGGCCGTGCGTCACTCAGAAAACAACAGGACAATCAGAAGAGAGGCTCATGAATATTAATTAGACAGGCCAAACTCGACCTGTTCTCAGCAGAGCTCCTGAGAGAGGAGCTGTAGAAATATATTGAGATGGTTTTTGGTACTTATACTGCAAATATATATTCTTAAGGACATCAAGACTTAAAATAAAACTCCAGAAAGGTGTACAATATGGGACCTTTAAGAGTAAATACCTGAAAAAATTTGACATGTGTCCTTGGTAGTTAAGACTTAAAACTAACTCAAGCATTCTTACAAATTATAGACCAGACAGTAGGATTTTCAAAAGTAAATATCATAATTTTACAAGAGTGTACCCTCTTCATATATAAAATGTGTTGAATTAATATTCAAATTGCAGTGTTATATATATTAATGATTAAATACTATACATAATATTTAGCACACTTTGCTTTTATTTCCCTCTAAAATACTGTGAAATGTTTTTGGACTCTTTCTACAACATAGGAACAATAAACAATATATAGTGCTGTGAAAATGTTTTTGCCCCCTTCCTGTTTTTTTTTTTTTGCATATTTGTCACTCTTAAAAGATTCAGAACATCAAACTAATTTTAATGTTACACAAAGATAATGCAAGTAAATACAAAATGCAGTTTTTAAATGATAATTTCATTTATTAATGGAAAAAAGCTGTCCAAACCTACGTGGCCCTATGTGAAAAATGAATTGCCCCCTCCTGTTAAATCATGAAAGAACTGTGATTAACCACATTATTTTAGAAAGCTGAGTTACATTTCACTAGCCACACCCAGGCCTGATTACTGCCAGACCTGTTGAATCAAGAAATCACTTCAATAGAACCTGTCTGACAAAGTGAAGCATGCTTAAAGAGCAACACATCATGCCGCGATCTAAAAAAATTCAAGAACAGCTGAGAAACAGAATAGTTGACATGCATCAGTCTGGAAAGGGTTATAAAGCCATTTCTAAGGCTTTGGGACTCCAGTGAACCATGGTCAGAGCCATTATCCACAAATGGAGGAAACTTGGAACAGTGGTGAACCTTCCCAGGAGTTGCCGGCCAACCAAAATTACTCCAAGAGCACAACGACGACTCATCCAGGAGGTCATAAAAGAACCCAGAACAACATCCAAAGAACTGCAGGCCTCACTCGCCTCAATTAAGGTCAGTGTTCATGATTCAACAATAAGAAAGAGACTGGGCAAAAACGGCATCCATGGGAGAGTTCCAAGGCAAAAGCCACTGCTGACCAAAAAGAACACAAAGGCTCGCCTGACATTTGCCAAAAAAAATCTTGATTATACCCAAGACTTTTGGGCAAATATTCTGTGGACTGATGAGACAAAAGTTGACCTTTTTGGAAGGTGTGTGTCCCGTTACATCTGGCGTAAAACCAACACAGCATTTCATAAAAAGAACATCATACCAACAGTCAAACATGGTGGTGGTAGTGTGATGGTCTGGGGCTGCTTTGCAGCTTCAGGACCTGGACGACTTGCCATAATTGACGGAACTCACTGAAAATCCTGAAGGAGAATGTCCAGCCATCAGTTTGTGACCTCAAGCTCAA